AACAGATTGCCACTGTGTGAATATTTAAAGAAAACACCATGAATAAATTAACGGTCCACAGCTACTGTACATGCCTTGCGAACTTGGACAACAGAAATGTACTGTGATGTAACAATGCTCTCTAGCACTCTCCTAGACACGAAATACTGAAATTAGAATGAGACCATATCATATTCAGGTTGTGTAATCTGCCCTTGGATTCTAAAAAAACATTGTAGATTCATTTAAATGTTATTTTTTTTATTGCATTTGATCTTTCTATATTTCGTCCTATACCTTTTAAATGAAAAAAATAAATAAATAAATAAATAAATGTTATTTAAGCATATACTGAGACCAGTCATGTGATCACACAGATAGTTCAAGGCCATATGCTAGGTGCTTTATTGTAAAACTGTAATTATAGAACAGATGACAGTCTTAAAGTGATAGCTTACCCAGAAATGAACACTTTCGTTATTTAACCACCCTTGTGTCATTCGAAACTTGTATGACTTTCTTCTGTAGAGTTATTTTGTAGAATGTCTCAGCTGCTTTTTTCCATACAATGAAAGTGAATGGGGATGGAAGCTGTCAAGATTCAAAATGACCAAAACACCCACAAAAGCACCATAGAAGTGGCCTATATAACTTATTTTAAATCTTTAGGGCAGAAAGAGACTGAAATAAGATTGACATTTGCTGAAATACACATTTAGTTTGAAGTACGGAAGTGAAAATGAGATTTGAGATAGATTGGAGTGAAAAACTCCACACACAAAATTATAATATGGCTTCAGAAGACTTGTAATATACACTGTAAAAAATTTCAAAGTTGTAATGAAAGATTATTGGTGTACATTTTACAAGAAAATACTTTTTTTTCTTGTAAAAACAGTTTTTCTACTTAACAATTTCAAGTTTAATTCAATGTGTTAAGCTCAATGAAATATATTTTTGAAACGATATTTTTGAAAATATATTTGATTTCAACTTTCATATAGCAAAATATATTTAAAAATGTTTTTGTATGTCACTTGCTAAATTTTATTCAAATGTGTTATATATTTTAAAAGAAAAAATTTACTTATATATATAATTATAATATTATAATTATAATATTATAATATATATAATTAACAAAAAAATATACAAAAATTGCCAAAAATATATTGGTAGATTTTTATTATTTTTTTATATATGTATGGGTTCCTAGCAATTTCTAAGTGAAAATTGCTTCTACATCTTATATTTTGGGTGCTTTTATCGAGCATTTTGTCATTTTTTGGAGCTTGAAAGCCCCAGTCTCCATTTACTTTCATTGTATGGATGACAGAAGACATTCAGAAGAAACAAAATAATATGAGGGTGAGTAATTGATGTCAGAATTTTCATTTTTGGATAAACTATCCCTGTAAAATTTACACCTGCTATGTTTGACTTTTAAATGAATGATACCACGTTTGTTTCCACTAGAAACCCAAAACAAATTTCAGCAGGGCACGAGACATGGCCATGCACCTTGACTCTGAATTAACTGGCATTCACTGGGTACACAGAACATACATGCCTAATACTATAACATCTAGTTCTCACTCAAAAGGTTTAACCTTTACATTTTAAGCTTACAGTGTCATTCACAGGCACATGCACACATAGAAATACATTGGCTATCTCATCCAATCAGGTTTCCTTCTACTTCGACTTGCACTGCAGGCGAGTTCGATCAGCTCAGGGGTTAAAAGTCGACAGGGTAGAACAATATTGTGAGCAGTTCCTACAAATACAATGTGTTTCGTTGGTTTGTGCCTCATCTACCGATAATTCGCTGCTCACAGATAGAGATAAAAGTGTTAATCTACTGTATAATCATAATCCCTCTAGGAGGCCTGCAGGGAAATATAAGCCCTAGTTACAATAAGAGAACCGCTGACACCCGAATTCTTTTATCATCTCATTTCAAAGTTGTGGAAACTTAACTTTACGTCAAACAAAGACTGAGCATGAGTCAGATTCGGGCTTCATAATAGAAGCGCGCTGCTACCTATGAAAACAGACCTAGCTTTGATGGTTCACTAAGGCCCTTGTGCATTATCATTCATATTAAACTATAACCCAGTGGCACTTATTTTCCTGAAACAATCTCGCTGGTCAATCAATAATGCATCCCAGAGTTCAATTCGAGATGGATGAATATGCTTTATCCTGCACATAATATTGCGGGCAATCTTACAGTGCAGTCGTTGGTGGAGATAGAATTACCAGCCACTAATCAGATGCTAAAGAGTGAGCGGCGATTGTTCGCATGCATGGAAGATGGCTTAATATTACAGGGAACATTAATGGAAGAGGAAAGGTAAGCAAATATCTGGCGAGATACCTGCTATCAGGCAGTTAAACAATTTCCGAAAAGCCCGCATGTCAATAATGCGACTGCCCTCAGCAGTTAGGAAAGTTCTGCTTTATTGCCGATTTACATAGAAATTGCCTTATTTTAGACTCGATAGGCTTTTTTTTAACGCATTATCTGCAACTCTGTCTTATCTATAAGATGGCGAGGTTCTGATTAGAATTATACACAATCAGGGTTGGAGAGCACCTTTCGACTGTGAAGTGTACTGAAGTTGTCCTAGGGTTCAGTCCTATAGAGTTCTGTTTCTATTATCTCATTAAAATGCAAGGTGATATTTGTGAAAAAAATCACAGCAGCAAAGTGCATCAAGTGCAGAAATAATAATATATATAAAGAAAGCCCAACCACATCACTGTAGAAATGATTATTGATAGGAATGTGATTTTAGTGTTAAAGTGTTTGCACACAGTCCATAAGAGTAATTATTATTTCAGGAGAACAAATATCACCCCTTGGGCTCCAATTATTTTCATGCATTGTCTCCCTTAGCATCTGACTAGGTCTGGTTGTTTTGCCTTTGTTCTTTATTTATTTTTGTTCTTTTTCTAAGAGGGTTTGCGCTGTACAACTTTAACCCTTTGTGCTGTTGCCTTTTTGCAAGTGTTATCATTTTTGTAGCAAGCTGTGAATTGCTATTCACTTATTAATGTTTGATAAGCTGTCTAATCTCATAAAAGAGTGACAAATACCCGAACATATTGAATCACCAAGTGGATACCAAATGTACATGATGCTGAACAACATCTGAGCGGCTATCGATGTATTAAAACAAGCTGAGTAGTTTGCAGTTTCACACTAGAAATGATTCAGTGAATGCTTTAGTCAGCTTCTTTTGATCCATTTTTTATTTATGCTGCATCTAATATATTATTATACCAAGAAATATTATTTAATAATACTATTGTATATATACACATACCTGTATGCACATATTGTAAATATAGTCCTGTTCAAAAGTTTGGGGTCAAAAGTTTTTTTTAAATTTTTTTTTTAAAGAAATTAATACTTTTATTTAGCAAGGTAATTGATCGAAAGTGACAGTAAAGACATTTATAATGTTACAAAAGATTTATATTTCAAGTAACTGCTGTTCTTTTGAACTATCTTTTAATCCAATATAATTAAAAGAATAAAAAACATCACGGTTTCCACAAAAAGTTTAAGCAGCACAACCGCTTTCAACGCTGATAATAAAAAGTGTTTCTTGATAATCAAGTCAGCATATTAGAATGATTTCTGAATGATCATGTGACACTAAATACTGGAGAATGGCTGCTGATAATTCAGCTTCATCATGCGGGAAAAAAAATCACATTTTAAAATATATTAAAATAAAATATTAGATGTATAAAATATTAGTACATATTAGAATGATTTCTGAAAGATCATGTGACACTAAATACTGGAGAATGGCTGCTGATAATTCAGCTTCATCATTGGGGAAAAAAATCACATTTTAAAATATATTTAAATTGGTAATATTTTACAATATTCCCTTTTTATGCTGTTTTAAATACTATTCAAATAAAAATGCTATTTTTCACAAATAAATGCATGCAATTCAATGTTTATATATTTAAATGCAAACAATAGAAGACAAGGGGTGTGTTTAGGAAACCTGTTTGGAAACGAACTTTTTCGTTTTTTAACAAAAGCTCAAGGTCGTTGCGGTTAGTCAGATCTCACTGAAAGTGTCAACTTTTAGTAAAGCGCAGATATTCCATCTTCATTTTCCCTCGTATTGTCACTTGCAGACCAACCAGTGGCAGATCTGCCATTGTACAGGCATTTGCTATGCGGAAGTCATCATTGTCAAAGACAACTTAAAGTTTACACCAACTAATTGGCAGCAACATAAAAGGGGAATTAAAAAATGACAGAAGACACCCTGCTTCCAACCCCCCTTTTGAAATTTGTCAAAATGTTTTCTCTTATAACGGGAAAACAAAGCATTCGCTCGTTAACGATGAAAGAGTTGCCTAAGTCCCCTGTTGATTGACGATCACTGAGATGTATGACACCTCTCAACTTGTCATGGAGGAGTTATTTGTACTCGGCTGCAATCCGTTCTCTGAGGAGAGACCAGATGTCCCGTCTTAATTAGGCCTGCAGTGATGTTTTTAATGACTTCTACCCCATTACGGGCAGAGCGTGCGCTAGTGAGAACGGGAGAGGAGTTTCAAATCTTCCTCCCTGTCACTTTCGTCTGAATGCGTGTGAGCTCCAGGAAGTGTGCTGCTTTTTGTCGGATTGTGGTGTGTGATTTGAGATATGCTAAAAACCCTCTGAAGAGCCAGGGAGGAACTTGGGGGTTTGGAGCGAGAGGAGTCAATGGAGAACAAATGTAACTTTTCCACCTAATCTCCTCTCTAAATTGTTTTTGTATTGCATGCTTCATTTATATCTATGAGGGTGCACATTGTGTAATATATTTAATTAATGGCATCTGTTATGGAAAACTAGGCCAGACTAGTTGATGGGAGATGTCTAGTGCACAAAGACTGATATAAAACACTCATACAGAACTTAGTTATGCTCTCCCGAAAGGTTTATGCGCTATTCAACTGTTTTATTGCACCTCAGATCTCTAATTCTGATTCCCCTCCAGACGACTGTGAAGAAAGGAATCATCTCGTACCTAGATTTGGCGTTCGCACTTGGAGATTCATGACAGGCCGCCGGTACATGGAGTATTAGAGCTCTCACTTACAATGCTCAGATCAAATTTGAATTTGGCCTATATTAAATTATATCCCTTTCTCTGATGTGTCTGTTCAGTACATTTGGAGAACAGCATAGAAGACTGTTCACAAGGCTGATGGTGGCATTACCTGCGTTTGAATCACCTCAAGATAGAATTGAAAGTAAGTTTCTGAATAAATGTAATTGCTTTGCCATAATGAGGGTATAAAATGTTATTAATATTTTAGAACAAGTCCTATTTTTCATTTCTGAAAACCACTACGGGGCTCCTTTTCAAAGGGTTTCAGTCAAAACCCAATGGGAGATTCAATTGACTTTAATCTTGCATTCGTTTGAAAATTTGAGCCCATTAGTTAACTTTGCCTTTTCTGTGCAGTTTGCACTGCATTTCAATGAAGCCGCTTTCCTGTGGTGTTAAAACACTAATAGTTGCTTCAAATAGTAAATGAGGAAAGGATATATAGAGGGAGAGAAAGTGGGGAAGAGAAGAGTTGATTACCTAAAATATTTATATTAAACATCTGTGTTTTTATAGAGATTGGAATAAAAAAATGTCCAATACACAGCTACAGGGTACAGGAATCAAATATTTAAATGCTTTAGTGAATAATTCGGGGATTGAGATGCAACTATTAAGCATTCTGCACCAAGCGTGGTTCTCTGACAACATATCAATTGTGGCCAGGTGCACCAGCTAATTGGTGAAATGCATTGTGGTCGCTGGCAAGGGAAAGTCAGGGGACCGTCCGTAATCAAATAAAGGGAAGGCCTGAATAATTCTTTTTGAAGTGCTACGGACCTCATGAGTGCGACATGACTCTAATTAGTTTACGCTCGGCACGTACCCACCCGCTGAATTCGTGAAGACCCCCATACACCTGCTCAACCCGGGACCAACGATATGACGGAACTGTATTTTAAACCAGAACATTTTGACTCTTTTCAACTAATTTTGATTCGCTAGTGACCAAATCTCCAAAGAACAATCTCAAAGAGTGCCAGTGTTTCATCGGATCTCCACAGTAAACCATCTTCTGGCTACCTTTCCTTATAAATCACGTATAGGATGATTAAAACGTCTGCCTTATGAAATGCTAATGTGTTAAAAGCACTTTTTATTTGACATCTGCTAAATAACCATCAGCAGGTTTATCTCAGACCTAACTCAGCACTTGCACCATTTAAATACAAGTGCACATCAAAGGACGCATCCAGATCAGATTATTTTGGATAAAGTTATTGTTGGTTGCAATGCAGAAAATGCAATATGAGACATAAGGAAATATTATGAATTTAAAGTGATAGTTGTTCTGTGTTATGATATTTTTGCCCTATAAAAATGCCTATGGTCAGATTAAATTTTGCTTATTACATGATTTTCTGGAATACTTGAATCAGATTTATTTATTTATTTAGTTGCTGTCAGGTGCTTGTATCACTTCAAGCTCTCCGTCTTCTCGTATAATAAAATCAAATTAAATTTTTTAATAAAATCAATAATTTTATTAATTAATAAAATAGAATTATTAATAAAAATGAATGGGTTTTAGGGATGCACCAATATAAAAACAAAAAAATAATCTCTTTGATACCAATTATCTGTTAATTATTTTTTATTATTATTTTTTATAATTAAAAAGGTGTATGTATAGATAGACGTATGCACTGATCAAAAAAAAAATGTAAAAAGAATATCCAATAACTATTTATATTATTTTTATTACTATTTTAAATTATTTGTCTAAATATATTAAACATAAAATATATAAGTATAGTATAGAACAGTATAGAAACAAAAATATAAACTTCATATGTACAATGGGTATTGAAAAGAATCACCCCCCTTTAAAATAATCACATTTTGTTGCTTTGCAGCCTGAAATGAAGACAGACACAGTTTTTGTTTTATCCAGCTCAGTGCTACAGTGGGTATAGAAAAGAATCACCCCCCTTTAAAATAATCACATTTTGTTGCTTTGCAGCATGAAATGAAGGACGACGAAGTTTTTGTTTTATCCAGCTGTATTTACTCACTGCAGCTTGTAACATCCAAGTGAAAGATATAACACCTACATGTCAGGAAAAAAATAAAATAAAAAAACAGAATCACAACGTTGGAAAAAGGATCACCCCCCTCCTAAAAAAAACTCCATAAGGTGTAGCTAATCACCTTTTCAATGGCACACAAAGCCTTTTGACTTTCAACTGTGATCAGCTGTTGTCATTTTGATTAGCTCAGCATGAAAAGAGCTTTCGTGGAGCGTTTCAGTCCTTGGTAGTGCAACTGAAGCAAACAATCAACTATGGGTGGTAAGGCACTGTCAAAAGATCTTCGGGATAAAGTAGTGGACAGGCACAAGTCAGGAGATGGATACAAAAAAAATTCAAAGGCCTTATCAATGCCTAGAAGCACTGTAACGTCTATTATTAAGAAGTGGAAGGTATTTGATACAACACAGACCCTCCCTGCATCAGGACGTCACACAAACTGGATGAAAGAGCCAAGAGGAAACTGGTCAGAGAGGCTACCAATAGGCCTACAGCAACTCTGAAGCAGTTACAGGAATTTATGACAAAGAGTGGTCATTGTGTGCATGTGACAACAATATCACAAATTCTCCACAAATGTGGCTTGTATGGGAGGGTTACAAGAAAAAAGCCACTCCTCAAGAAAGGCCACATGCAGTCACGACTGAGCTCTGCCAAAACACCTTGAACATTCTGAGGCAGATGAGACTAAAACTGAATTATTTGGCCTCAACACCAATCGATATGGATGGGGCAAAATACTGTCAAATTCTTGAGGAAAATCTGCTGCCCTCTGCCAGAAAGTTGTCAATGGGAAGAAGGTTTACTTTCCAACATGACAATGACCATAAATCACCATCAAATTTAACTGAACTTGATCAGTTCTGCAAAGAAGAGTGGGCAAATATTGCAAAGTCTAGATGTGCAAAGTTAGTATAGACTAATCCCAACAGACTAAAGGCTGCAATTAAATCAAAAGGTGGTTCAACAAAACACTGACACAAGGGGGTGATCCTTTTCCCAACTCAGTGATTCTGTTTTTTATTATTATTTTATTTTTCTGACATGTTGGTGTATCTTTCACTTGGATGTTATAAGTTGCACTGAGTAAATACAGCAGGATAAAACAAAAACTGTCCATCTTCATTTCAGGCTGCAAAGCAACAAAATTATTATTTTAAAGGGGGGTAAATCTTTCTACTCACTGTACACACACACACACACACACACGCACCTTGCACTCTAAATATATTAAATATATATAAACTAAAGGCATCTCAATATTATAATGTACAATGGTAATCATTTTTAAATTGACTAATGATCACATTTAACAGTGTTATTATTAGCATTTTCAATAAATATTTTTAAGTGAGTGTTAGATGGTGGCCAGAGTGATCTAAATGTAAAAATAGTCAGAATTGAGCATGCACAATTAAATATCCAATATCGTCCAGTACTGTTATTTTATAAAATCTCCAAATTGGCTGATAAATCAAAGGGATTTATTTTTCTGTAATAACCGTCTGAATGTACATTATTCCTTACTTAACCCTAAATAACTGTCAGGAGCATTTTAATGAAACAGTATACATCACTTTAAATAAGAAATATCATCATGATTTCAGGTCCGTTTACACAACATCGTGCAAATCAGGGGAAAGCCAGTGTTCTATGTCTGTCAGCACAGGGTGCATAATGGGCATCAAAGCAGCCAAATCAACAAACAAATGCCTATTTGCAGGATTGAGAGAATGAGTCTGATAGGACAGGATACCCATCCTGCCCTGGTGAGTGTCTCAGACAGTCTGAGCTTAGGCCTGCCTTTGCCCATCTGTCGTGAACCCTGGCCAGGACAGGAGGGCGGGCCACACCAGGACAGCAGTCGCCCAATCACGTGCCCATGAAGGGCCTTGTGTTGATCCTAATACTTTTCAAATGATGCTTCCTGTCTAAGACCGCCCAAATTGGAAGAAAGCGCTTCATTTTCTGTATTGCACTGTCATGAAGCCTTTTCCAAGACCCTGAACTGATTTAGCTAGTAAACAACCTGTTAACCTTGCTTCGCTGCAGAGAACGGCCTGTTTCTACGCAAAGGGATGTCATAATCATCTTGCTTTACAAGAGTCCGGCATTATGCACGGTATTTTCATCTCTCGTCAGCATCCTTGGCAGAACAGCAACATGTCAGGAATCCAATATATCTAAAAGCGAGAACGATATATTTCCTCCGGAAACCACTTTCAATTGGCATGAACAGAGAAAAGTGCATTTTCCTTTAGATCTAGGTATATATGCGTTTAAATAACATTCCAGTTTGTTGCTCTGTATATCTAGGCTTTATAGTAGTCTTCATAGGTGTTAAGGCAGGCCTCAGGGAGAGGAAGATGAGGGTTATGTTAGACCAGAGTTACTGTGTGGGGTCCATATCAAAACCCGGCCATCGCACCACTATCCCTGTCTGCATCCAATTTCAGCATGAACGCTTCCTGTTAAACCCCCATCAAACAGACACACGGCAGCACAAAGGAAAACCTCATCTCCACGGGAAACTAATCCGCCGGTGTGCGCTGTAAGCCTGTCAGGGTTTTTTATTTTTTATTTTATTGAAAGAAGTCATCACTCATTTTTGCCAAAGATTAAAAGTGTGGCTAAATTGAGAAAATCCGCTTAGGAATTTTTCTGAATTTAAATTTGTACTGGGAAGTGAAGAAGCTTCTCGGGACAGAAAAGGTGTGTAAGGTGAGATAAATTAGAACATGTAGACAACATATTTGTTTCGGCCCTCCCTCTTCTCTATATAAGTCTTTCTTTGAATGCAGAACAAATGAATGAGGTGAGTTGGCAGATTTCCGCAGTTACCTCAAAAATCGCCCTTCCTGATTGGCAATTCGAGCATAAGAGACAGGCATCTGAAATGAGTTCTCCGTCCCTTTAATTGCATCGCCACTGCAGGCAAGGTGTTTCGGTGGGAGGGAATGACAATTGCTTGCCAGCAGGAAAGAGGGGGGCTGGGTCAATACCACTTTCACACCTACTGTGCAACATTCCCTGGATGGTGTATTTACCTCAAGCATAGGCGGAAATCCCGGGGAGGTCGGGAGGGACAGGACCCCCCTATCTGAGGGTTGTC